AAGCCTGGCAATTGTCACCTCAATTTTATGACCAACTTGGCAACGAAATCAAGCAGCAACTTCAGAAAAAGAGCCACAAGACAAGATAACATATACCCCCCGTCGTCGCGTCGTATATGTATGATGGAAGATGATGATTCAAAGCTTTTACTCTGGATTGGATGGGTTGCTGTTGCTGGTGCTGCTGCTGCTTGCTGCTGCTGGTGCAACCTTCACATAATCGCCATCGTTATGTGGTCAAAGAGAGCTTTCGCGGCAACTCTTCACTTACATACGATTATTTATGCATTTATTTAGTTTTATTTGATTTCTGTGGGGTTTTCTGCCCTGGACACACGCTTCATTTTGATTTTTGAATTTTGATTTTGGATCTTGTATGTGTGGTGTTTTTTTTTTTTGAGTAAACTTTTTATTTGATTTCGTTTTGAGTCGCTGCTTCGTGGCAGCGCCAATCAGCGCTCTGTGCAGAGCGAAAATTTCACTTTTTCCACACAAGTAATCATAAAAACTATGCACGTTCGTAAAATGCGCTTTTGGCAGGCAGGGCCGTAGACAACATTTAGCCGCTGCCGCTGGCTCCAGGGAAGGGGGGGAAAGAGGCATCATCAGCAGCAGCAGCAGCAGCCAGCCACAAAGCATAATTCAATGATTTTCCGCTTTTGTAGAGCTATTAAGCGCCCCGTCAAGCCATCGAGCCACCATGGAAGTGGTTTCATTTTGGCTGAGTGGGCAAGGTCTTGCTTAACGCTGAGACTGCGACGAGACTGCGACCGACCGCATCTATAAGGTTTATCAATGATCGATGCAGTGAGTAGCAACAACAAATGGACTTTTACTGCCGCAAAAGGCCTGGAATGTGAGTGCTACTGCCACACCACATCATACCATACCACAAACAATACACCACACACACTTGTTGCCGCTGGATTTTGTGAAAGACACACCAGAGACGCCAGGCAGACGCAGACCTGTCCAGCCAGAGAGGGGGACAGGCCACAAGCCGCAAGTCGCAATCCGCAGACATTTCAAAATAGTTATACTATTAACACACAGACAAGGCACTCAACTCACACGGGAGCCGGAATCGGAGTCGAAATTGGCCGTTTACACGGATGCAAGTTTAGTACGTACGGGCTGGGCTGGGCTGTTTTGTGGATAGATAGATTCTTAGGAGGGGGGGCTCCAAAATGTGGAACGCAACACCAAACCGCCGGCAAAAAATGTGCACGACTTGTACGCTCGTAAAGCCGCCGAGAAACTGAATTCGATGTCTTCGAGTGGCCCCACAACGTAAGATGTCGGGGCGGCGAAAGCTTCCACCTGAAGCTCGGCTTGGCTTGCTTGGCATTGCGACAAAGCGAAACTCGAAAACCTGATAAACAGGTACACCTGTGTGCGTATGTGCCTGCATATGTGTGGCAGCTCGGTAGCTGGGTGTGTGTGTGCGCTCAATAGGAGAGAGGCATACGCAAAAGCGAGAGTAAGCCAAGCAAGCGGCGCTCTGTGTGTGTGTGTGTGTGTGTGAGTGATGCATGACTTGAGCTTTTGCTCAATGCATTGCAAATGCATGCGATTGAAGCTTTTGGATATTCGAATAGACTGACTTCGATCGGCTCGAAATAAATGTTGCCTGTCGCTGCTCTCTCTCTCTCTCTCTCCCTCCCTCTTTCTGTTGCTTTTGGGGAATGGGTGGCGGCGACTGATAAAAACAAGTTTGTTGCCTTTGCATTGAAGTCTTTCGTTTTGGTTGCCTTTCGTTCCGTTTTATGTTGCACACAGAGACACAGACAGCGATCCCATTGATTGCCACACCAATACCAGTGGCAGCACTAAACGATTATGATATCTTGCTGTTGTTGCTGTTGTTGCAAATGACTCACTTGTATGGTGACTGTTGTTGTTGTTATTGTTTGTGGCAGCGGTTGCCAAACCCCCCAAACATCACAATAACGAAGACAGATCAAGTTGAAGCCACAGAATGTATGTATGTCTATATGCAATGCAAAAGTTGACAGCTCCAACGATCACACATTATTGTTATTGCCACTGAATGTTGCAGTTTCAGTTGGCATTGCGCAAGGTTTATGGGTTTCTTTTGTTTGTTGTTGTCTCCAGAATCGGAATCTTGCAAAAGCTTTCGTGCTTGAGCATAAACAGGCTTTTGGGAAATGCGCAAACGGTGGAAATAACACGCGACAAAAAACTTGTTGCATTTGCATAACCAATAACAGCGAGGGGAATCATTTCAGACCATGTCTAGGAAATGTGATTCAAGAAATTGTCCACTGGGAGAAAAACTTCAAAGAGAGCATGTTTTGAAAAGATAAGAAAGAGTTTTCCCACTCTCGATGAATCAGGAGGAACAGCGAGGGGAAATTTTTTCAGACTATGTCTAGGAAATGTCATTCAAGAAATTTAAAAGATGTGAAAGAGTTTTCCCATTTTTAATGAATCAGGCAGGGGAAAGTTCTGATGTCTGATGAGTATTAAACAAATAAGAATCATATCAATCTGACATATTCAGATAGAATTTTTGAGCTAGGATTCTACCTGATGTAGAACGGAAACGCTTGAAATTGAAATAATAATTCTAATGATCTTGAGTGCAGTACTTCTCCGGTCTTTGCCTCAACCGAACTTCAACTGTTGTACGAGTACAATAATTTTTCCGAAACCTCGCAAAAGCTATTGCTCAATCGCCGTAACAATAACTCTATAGTTAGAAGGCGAACCAAGACATTATCGCCTCAATGTGTTTGACATTCCACTCCAAGACCAACCACACACACGCACACACACGCACAAAGATATAGTGCTGTTGGACGGACCGACGTCGACCCGTATCCAATGCCTAACTCTACGACGACTTTGCATGCCAATAAGGCCAACCGGGTTGCATGCGACCTTTCTGTTTATGTAAACTGTCGTACAAAGTGGCGCAGTTTTGTTGTAAGTGATGCAATAAATAATAATAAAAGCACAGCAACAGCAACAATAACAACAACAAACGCATATGTAAATTTAAATGTTGTTGCGTGCCATCAATTGCCCCTGCCACCCCGCCGACGCACCACCTGCTGCCGCCATCACCACGCCACTACGCCATCATAATCAAAATTGGTTTTTCACTTACGGTACAGAACTTCGACCACCAGCATGGCCAATCCATCAGTCCCTTAAGGGGGGATCTTAAGAACTATCTTAGTGGTGACTGTAGATTTAGGATTGGCAGATTCTTGATGTCCGTTGATTGTGGAAAACTTTTCCTTTTTTTTGGAATTGTTTTTTTTTTGTGTATAAGAACTATATTTGGCACTTGACGACCCGCCAGCCTAGGTTACTGATAAGGCACCCACTTATTTCTACGTCAGCGCTGATAAGATCCCTGCGAGCGGGCATTTCAGGAAACGGGAACTGGAAGACAATCGAGATCGAGGGCACAGCTCTACATTCAGCATGATGGAAACGACTTTGCCTCCATCTTTACAGCTTTTTAAGGTAGTTTATGTTAGGGGCCCAAACAAACTACAGTAACTTAGTGCGCGACTGACTAAGAGCCACTTAAGTTGTCCGTTCCAGTCAAATACTCCGCCGTAAACTAGACTTTGAAGCGCAGCTCTTGAGACCTGCTCGGGGCGGAGACTACAGGCATTACAGGCAAAGGCAAACAGTATTGGAAAGCTATTAGCGGCACGGAACGATTAAATTAAACGATTGAGCCATTGGAAGCTTCATCCGCGTCATACAGCCTTCTAGAAAAACAAAAAGTTCAGAGAGGCTATCAATCGGGGGCTGATGCAAAACACGATGGAGCCGCCGCTGGAAAGCCCCGCGCCATACATAGTATAGGGAATATGACAGATTAATTGTAAACTCTTGACTAAACTGATAAATGCTGAGCACACAATCGAGGCCTGTGCTTGGGGCCTAGGGCTTGGTCTCTGGGGCCGTGTGGGGTTCAATAACTCGCGATTCTCCTGCCCGGGGGTATTTATGGGAGTAATCACGTTGTCATGGGGATGCGGGGATTGGGGCCTTTCTGCTAGCTTAAGAATTGAGCATTCAGACAACTGGAAGATAAGGTTATCTAAATATATCATATGCATATATGCTCCAAGAATTTCAAAACCGAGGAGAACAGAACGAGAAGAAAATAAATCAAGAAAAAGGTAGCCACCTTGAGCAACCCCATACACTGAGCAAAATGGCGCATGCACTTTTCTTTGTTCATCGCTAATTGATTGGTTAAAGTCCATTGCAGTCCTAATGTGTAAGGGTTAAGTGGTTTAATGCTAATTAAATTGTTTTGGCAGGCGTGAACATGCCTATGTACATATGTATGTATACATAGACAATATATATATACATATGTAATTATTTGAACATTCCTATATATAGACATATATTGCATATATTCTTGATCAGACGACTCTTTAGCGCTCTTTCCACTGTATTCAACTGCTGTGTCTACTATAAGCAGGTTCTTCCTGCCTTCACTTTGTTCCATTTCCACTTGGTTCCCGTCTCCCGTTTTCTCTGTGTGCATGGCAGACTGGAGGAGAAACAATGAAGCCCGTTTCTGGATCGGATCCCAGCGGTCCGTCCACGCCGCTCATCTAATTCGATAATAATGAAGCCACTACTCTCTCTAGAGAGAGAAAGCCATGCGGAGATGGGGATTGGGATGGGGCTGCTGCTGCTGCTGCTGCAGATGGCTGCTCTCTATCTCTTCTTCCGAAGAGTGTGTGTGCGTGTGAGTATCATTGTGGCTCCTTTGTGTGGATGATGATTAAATTTGCACTTTGTCTCATTACACACACACACACATACAAAGAAACTGGCACACGCACAACGGCTAATGGCTGGCTGCTACGTAGTAAGCAAGAAATCCCGGTTATCAGCAGAAACCATAGCTGACCACTCGCTTATCAATGGCAGAGCTGCAGCAGAGACAGCGGCCCCGAAAGCAAGATCGTAGAACGAGGAAAGAGAACGAAACAGCTGCTGATTCCGAACGGAGCGGAGCGGATTCCGTCGTAGTAATAACTCGTTTGGTGGGCAGGCAGCACGCACCACAGTCCCCCGTGTCCAGTGCCAGTGTTTATGCCAGAGTCTATCGTAACTCGCAGTTACAAACACCCCCCCAGAAAGCGAAATCTAATCGGTTCTAGAGGTCCCAGTCCCGGTCCCGGTCCCAATCTCTCGGCCAGATAGTGCGTGGGCTCTAATCGCGAAATCCGCAATAAATACCATACCCCAACGGACAAGTGGTTGATCCAGTGGCACCTCGGTGGCTAAACGTACGAAAGAGATTATCAAGCCAACGGCTGGCTGGTGGGCAACTATGTAGTGTTCGTTGTTGTGTTTCCTTCCCTGTAGCTCCACCAATCGCTGTGGTTGTTCGGTTGCGTCGTTGCAGTTGTTGGGAAAACTAAGACAAACCAGAAACGGAATCGATTCCAAGTGCGGTGCAGTAGAAGAAGCTGAATGAGTGACCGAGGAGAGGGAGAAGGAAGAGTGAAGAGTGTATTTCATATGGAAAACCAGCTACAGCTGCAGTTACAGCTCCACTGTTTTTTTCGAAGCAGGAACTACACCAACAACAAGAGCAGCCAGTCCCAACGATCGGGCTGACAAAAGAGAATAGCGACAAAACAAAGAAGCAGGCGAACAAAGAACACAGGCCAAGAAAAACAGAGAACAGACGGTCGGCCAGAGAGGAGAGAAGAGAGCCGAACTGGAGCTGTTTACTTCGGACAACGACAAGAGTTCTGTCGGACAGAGATACTCGAATATACAAGTGTGTCGCTGCAAGATACAGATACTGATACAGTGATAGAGACAGCGACAGATCCCGCGAAGCAGCGCCAGCATCCACATCATTAGAGAGACAGAGTGAGAGAGGAAAACCCCCCAAAAAAAGCTCAATACGAATGGTGGGTGTGCACACATCGTAAACACGACAAAATTGTTAATTAAGACGCCAAATGTTTGGCAGTCGTCGAAAGTGCAGAGAAGAGTGGCGGCGGGAGGCAAAGTAAACCAGAGAGCAAACGCGCACTGTATGCGAGAGCAAGACAGAGAGAGAGAGAAGTGCGGGTGCAATTACCTTGTGCTTGTGTGAGTGTGTTGTGTTCCGTTTCCATTTCGTTTACCTGAACAGCTGGCTGTCTGTGCACACGATCTCTCTCCGCTTACTCACTCACCGACTCTCTATTTTTGGGTCGCTTTGCACCCGCATCATCACCAAGCCGTTATCAGTCAATGGCACCGCCTGCACCCCCGCGCTCGCGACAGTTTTCTGCAACTAATTGAAAGCAAGCAGACAGGAGAGAAGCAGACGCAGAAGGAGAAGGAGAGGAGCGGTGAAGACAATCAACCTGCGTCGCGACGCATTCGACACCTAATCCTAATTAGGAGAAACAAACCCCAGGCGACGGATTCCCACTGACGCCCTCTAAGCGTAGGTCTCAAGTGCAAATTTGATTTTAAAACAAAATGTTTCCCAAACACAATATTATACATACATATGTACATAATGTGTGGGGGATGGGTAGGTAGCCTAAGGCGCAATTTCATACTCAGTCTTATCAAAATTCGAAATCAATTCAATTTGCAGTCACAGTAGTGCCAGATCAATTTAGCTATGAACCCGATCCCCATCCGTTCGTTCACATTAATATAAGTTCAAGATCGTGCTGTAATACATATTGGAAAATTTGACGGCCCCAGTTGGGGCTTATCGGTGGCGTTGACCCGTTTTCAAAGTTGGCGAATCAGTACTCGTACAAGTACCCCCCTCAAGTGGTTGGTTCCAGAGCTTAACTCTATGGAATACAGACACACAGTCGCACACTGACTGATACCTCCGTCCTCAACTTGTTGTTTCCATAATTTTATGAATTGCTAGCTAATATAGTACATACGTATGTACAAGTATCAGTATTAAATATATATATTCGTAGGAGCTACTGATAACGCCTAGTACATACATATGGGTTGTACTTTGATTTCAGCACGGGCAGAAGCCGCAGCTGGGCCCAGCATGCGAAGGCTCTCGAACTGAAACCCAGATTAGTTGGTGAAAACTTCTGTAAACGATCGCATGGTTAATAATCTGTGCTCTCCGGAAAATTGTTCCGATTAAGTCACACACACAAACACACACCACACCACACCACACACACACACACATGTGCAAATATAATTACATATAACCCTATAAGAGGTATTTAATGAATGTATTCCCTTCAATGGGGGAAACGTTGTATACTTATGTGTTCGATGAACTCTTGGATTTCTACAAGTTTATATATAGAACCCAGCCTGATAAGCTAAGCCCATAATCGCACCAGTCAGATAGATCCCTTTGCTGCGCCACGTGTTCCCAATCCCAAAAGATAATATTAAATGAAATTATACATATTATGCATATCAGTGAACAAGAATCTGTTTCCAGGACCGAGTGTAATTCTTATAGTAGAAAGGCATCGCAATTCATGGGATTCATAATCTTGTGGCTTACATGCTCCCAGCTAGTCAACAACTTAATACTGCGATCACTGTGATAAGAGGCCAGCATAACATTTGCTTACTACACTTTCAGCTCACACAGAATGCCACGTGCCACAAGCCATGATGGGGCCCTGCCACCCACTCAAGATGATCTCACAGTTGCCCAGAGCAGATCCAAGTCCAACACATTGAACTCGCAGCGGAATGGGGTCGGTGCGGGAGGAACGGGAACATTTGGGGGCTACAGCAGCGGGAAGAGTGGGTCCGACAAGCCAACGATACCCCAGATGATATTGGAGGCCTTCGGCCTGCGCAATCACTCACAGAACCGCGAGCCAACGTCCAAGGATATTGGCACACTGATAAGTAAGTAGAGCACGGTTGATGGAGATGATACGCGTATCCCTGACTAACCCGACCCACTCTGCAGTGCTGGGCGTGATGTTCCTCCTATTTGTGATCAGTGTTACCGGATTCTTTGTGATGTGGTTCACCGAGTACTACAACAACACCATGCTGGAGGTAAGATACTACTACCAAATAGTTAAATCCTTGTAACTTTATTCAATTCACCCAATATCCCACCACAGAATCTTGTGCTGGCCGAGAACTCGGACACGGCCAAGAGTTGGCTCAACCCAGACCCCAAGTTCGACACGCTGCTGAAGGCTCACATCTTCCACTACCCCAACATTGAGGACTATCTGGCAGGGCGGGCTGATAAGATACAGATACGCGATATGGGTCCGCTGGTCTACCAAGAGCACACGGTCAAGGACGAGGTCTCGTTCAACAAGAATTTCACGGTCACCTTCAGGGTAGGACTCACTCACCCACTTAAAAACCAAGGCAGGACTTACGTATAATAATTCCTCCACAGGACCGCAAGTCGTACAAGTTTCTGCCGGAAAAGTCGAGCATACGGGAGGATGATGTGCTGCTGGTTCCCAATGTGCCGCTCATCAGTGCCGCTGGCCACGTAAAACGGATGCCGTATACTACGCGCCTCATCTCGGGCATGTTAATCAACGGGTTCAAGGAGCCCCTGTTCAAGAATCTGACGGCTGCAGAGTACCTCTGGGGATACGAGGACAAGATCATCAAACTGAAGAGCCTGGGCAAGGGCAAGCGACGTTTCGGCCTGCTGATGAGCGTAAGTGTGGGTCGTGGGTCCTTTTGCAAGATCTCTATCCCAACAGAATTGTTTTCCCCCCGCAGCGAAATGGAACCAGCGTGGACTCGGTTCAGGTGAACACCGGCGAGGACGACATCACCAAGTACAGCACCATCACCCAGTTCAATGGCATGCCCCAGCTGGACTACTGGGAGGGGGAGGAGTGCAATCGAATTGATGGCTCGGAGCCCTCCATGTTCTCGCCGAATCTCCTGCAGACTCGCGACACAGTTCACGTCTTCCTGCAAGTGCTGTGCCGCAAGGTGCCGCTCCACTTTGAGAAGGAGGTGACCATCTACGACGACATCGATGTGCTACGCTACCGGACGCCCATGGATGTGTTTGATCATCCGTCCGAGAACCCGGCGAATCAGTGCTATTGCCAGAACACTGACCGTTGCCTGCCCAGCGGAGTGATCAATGCCACCAAATGCTACGCAGACTCGCCCATCTTTCCCTCCTTCCCCCACTTCTTCTCCGGCGATCCGGTCCTGTACAAGATCTTCGATGGCATCAAGCCCGACGCGGAGATCCATCAGACCTACGCCGACATTCATCCGCGCTTCGGCTTCCCCATCAGCGGAGCTTCGCGCGTCCAAATTAACATTATGCTGGACAAGACCCCTCTACTAAGGAGTAAGTGATCGCTAGGATCCCCATTCGCCATCCATTCGACCCCTGTCTGATGATGATCATTTTCGATAATTTCAGATCAGGGTGAACGTCTGGAGAACGCCACCATCTTGCCACTGATGTGGATCGAGATCACCTCGGGCGACTTCTCGGAGGAGGTGCTGCACATGCTGTACGTCAGCACCTTCGGCCTGGACGCCATCCAACTGGCCCTGAAGTATGGCACGCTGCTCATTTCCGTGACTTCCTTCAGCCTGATCGTGGCCGGGGTCTACTACTTGAACAGTAAGCGCGAGGAGCACCTCCAGGAGAGCAAGTCCTCCGCTGAGCTCGAGGCACTGAACAGTGGTGGCGTCGTGATGGTGCAGGTGCACCACTTCAACTTACCAGTGCCATGTGCCCCTTCTGCGCCCCACTTGGAGGCGGATGATCATCGAGCAGCGTAAACCACGTGACCAAAACAGTGCCATTAGTTAGTTATTTAGTTATTTAGTGAGGGGCGGGAACGGGGGAAAGTTATCCAGACTTTTATGAGATTTTCGAATTTTCCTAGGATTAAACGCACAACCTTAGTCTACAAAGAGTCAGCCAGTTACCTGTAGTCTGTAGCCATCAGTTTGTAAATATGTGAAAATGTTAATAAACTTTATATTCTCATATGTGCATATATATATTCTCGTGAATTGTATAATTAATCCTTGCAGCTCCTCTCTTTTGAAATACCCACCAATACAATTTTTTATTCATGCTCCAAAGTATGCTATGAAATGGAACTCGGATGGTATCGATAACCTTCCAAGAAGTACATCTGGCACGTTACGTTTCCCTTTCCAGAATTTATTCCCCATACTTGAAGTTCCCATATCCATTAAGGTAAGGGCGGTGCTAGGTAGGCACAATGCTTTTGGAACTGGCGGTTTTTAAACGTAACAGTATAAAATCATTTGATGTATATAATATAGCAAATTTTATTGTTTAGTTCTAAACAAAAACGAAATTAAATTCGTATATTAGTTGCTTGTTCAACATTTGATTTTCTTTTGTTTTTACTCAGCTCTGTTTCTGATTTATTTCCACTTTGAAAACCGTTTTTAGTTGTTAAATGCATGAATTACATATTTTGCATCGTATTGCTATTGCTATGGGCTTTATGTTAGGTATTTATGTATGTTTGTATCTAAAGATTGCAATGTGGAAGTGAGTGGAGTGTATCCTGACGATTGTATTGTGGACTCTATAAATGTGGGTTCCATACGCTGAAGGAAGTTAATAAGTTTCTGGGCTTTTCTTGTTTGGTTTTTGTGTTGTATAAATGTCGTTTTTATTTTCGATGCTTGCTCCGATCGGCAGGCACTCGAGGGATGCGGGGAAAGTGTCTTATGTGTTTATGGTTGTTTTATATAAATTTAGGGGGAGTTGGAGGGTTTTACAACATTGTTTTTGTTTTTGCTTTTGCATTTTGCATTTTTTTGTTTCATTATTTATGTTTTTTGTCGTTATAAAAATGTTGTTTTTGTTGGTTTACGTTTTTAATTTAAGTATGTATAATAGTTTATATAAAAAATAACAGAGAAATTATATAAAAGAAACATTAAATATAATCGTTTATTTTGCTCTTCTCTTCATCATCTCTTCTCCGTCCTATTCTCGATCTTGACCTAATAATTAACGCGTCAATTGCCCGAATCCTCGCCATCTAATGATTCATCCTGCACCGATGAGCTGTCGTCACCGCCGCCGCCACCACCGCCGCCGCCTCCTGCGCGCTTTGCTGTAGGTGTGCCCGTGAGCCGGCTGGAGCTGAGGCCAATGCCGCCGGTGCGTCTAAAGGGAATGGAGAAATACAACATGCTGAATTAGTATCTCAATTTGGAATATAGCATTGGATAGTGATAGTATACGTGCAGTGCATGGGCAACACAAAAATGCACAAATAAAATGAACAAACAGAGGGCGGGTTGCACGAACTAAGTTCTATTTCAAGGAGGAGTTTGAACGGCATTAGTTTGCACTGTTGGATGATTGATTGATGGATTGATTGATTGATTGGGGGTTCCTAACATGCAGAGAGAAGTTCACAGAGGTGTGGTTGCTAGGTATGCTTTGGTATGGAGTGGTTTCTGGTTCACATTCACTGGGTCTTGGTCTGGGTCTAGGTCTGGGTCTAGGTCTGATTCTGGTTTTGGGGGGGAGAGGATTCTGACTATGGATCTTGGCCAGAAGCACTTACAGCGCCTACGAGAAAGAAGCGAAACGATTCGAAACCTAATGCAGACCCTCACAATTCATAATAAGTGCGGCATCCTTTTTGGGCGAATAGGCCTTGGCCTTTTCGGTCTCGGCCACTTGGATGGAGCTTAAACCAAAACAAAAAATGTCAAACAATAATGAAAGAATCTCGGAAACCCCAAAGAGAGAGATAGATAGATAGAGAGACATAGCGCTACAGAGACTTTCCCCTTCCGCCGCATAGCCCTGTAGCAACAGGGATCACCACCTACCGTAGTTTAGTTTTGAGTGAGTTGATCTCACGGTTCATGGCCTCCTGCGATTCAATCATGTCCTCGCACTCGCGCTGGTACTTGCGCTTCTGCGTCTTCTCCTTCTGCAGCTCCTCCTCCGTCTCGTCCAGATTGCGCTTGAGCAGTTTGATGCGGCTATTCAGCTGTGGGAGGCACAAAACAAATTTAGTATTTCTGTCCAGACTGTCCCACCCCTCGGATTGCATACCTTATCCATTTGCTCCTTGTGCTGGTCGACATGTCTCCGCTCGTCTTCGATGTTCATCGTCAGCTCCTTGATCTTCTTGTCCATCTTGCGGTTGGCCTTCTGCTGCAGCAGCCGCTCCTTGCCCTCGTTCTCCAGCTGCTCCTCCAGATTGGCGATCTTGGCCTCGAGCGTGGCAATGGTGGCCTTCACCTTGGTGCGCTGAGCCGTCTCGATCTCGGCAAGCTTGGCCTTCAGCTCCTTGTTCTGGCGCTCGAGCAGGGCGCGTCCATTCTCGTTCTTCTGCGAGTTGGACTTCTCGTTGGCTAACTCAGTGGTCAGCTGCTCGATCTGCAGCTGCGCCTTACGGCTGCGGTCGAGCAGAACCTCCGAATTGGACTGCTCCTCCTCGAGCTCCTCCTCGAGCGTGGCAATGCGGGCCTCCAGTCGTCGCTTCTCGTCGACCATCAGCGAGCCCTTGCTGGAAGTGTTGGCAATCTCCTCGGCAAGTTCGTCGCGCTCCGTTTCGGCGGCGCGTCGTGCCCGCTCCGAGCTGGCCAAATCCTCGGTCAGCTGTAATACTTCTGCCTCCAAGGCCTTGACCTTGCGCTCGGCCTCCTTGCTCTGCGCCTGCAGCTCCTCCTTGGACGCCTTGGCCTCCTCGGCGTCGCGAAGCGCATCCTTGACTTGTGCTTGCAGCTTCTTGGCGTGCTTCAGGGCGTCCTCCTTCACCTTGTTATGCATCTCCATAGTGGTCTCGATCTCCTTGAGGTCGCCCTCCAGCTTCTTCTTCGCCGCCACGGCTGCCGTCCGCTGCTTGCGCTCCTCATCGAGCTCCGCCTCCAGATCGCGCAATTGCTTGACCAGGCCGCGTCGCTTCTCCTCCGCCCCCTCCTCCTTGGCCAGCAGATCGCGCTCAAACTGGGAACGCAGGGCCTGCATATTGACCTCGAGACGCAACTTGGCATCCTCCGTCAGCTGCAGGTCGTCCTCGAGCTCCTCGTTTTGTGCTTTCAGCTCGGCCAGCTGCGACTCCAGGGCGCGCTTCGCCTTCTCAAGCTCGTGGACATTCTTGTCGGCGGTGCCTTGCGAGTTGGCCAGGTCATCCAGCTCGTTCTGGAGGGTCTTGCGCTTGTTCTCGAGATCTTCGATCTTGTCGAAGGCCTCGTCCAGCTCGCGGGACACCGACAGCACCTTGGTCTCCTTCTCGCGTGCCTCCCGCTCCGCAGTGTCACGCTCCTGAGCGATCTGCTCTGATATGGCTTTCTCCTCGGCGAGGATCTTGTCGAAGTTCTTTTGCTTCTTCTCGAGTTCGAGCACCTACGAGGATGGGAATGTGGATTAGCAAGAGAGTCACGCGAGTCCATGACCAAGGGTACCTACCTTCGTGCGCTGCGCCTCCAGTTCGATGGTGGCATCCTCCAGCTCCGATTGGATCTTCTTTTTGCTCTTGTCCAGACGATCGTTCTGGGCAATCAGCTCCTTCACCTGTCGCTCCAACACCTCGATCTCCTTGTTGAGCCGCTTCTTGCCCTCCTCCAGCTCCTTGGCTAGGTCGGCATCCTCCTCGGCCTTCTTCTTAATGTCCTGCATCTGCCCGGTGACCTCGGCCAGCTTGCGCTCAAAGTTACGCTTGGCCTCCTCATCCTCCTCGAGTTGCTCCTGCAGCGCCTCCTTCTCGGACTCGATCTGGCGTAACTTGGAGCTGAGGCCCAGCTTCTGGCGTGTCTCCTCCTCCAGCTGCTGCTGCGCTTCCGTCAGCTGCGACTCCATGTTGCTGGCCGACTTGACGGCCGCCGAGGCCTTCAGTTCGGCCTCCTCCAGCTGATTGGTGATATTCTCCGCCTCCTGCTGCAGCTTTGTGCACTTCTCCTGCAACTCGGACCGGGCGCGTTCGATCTCGGCCAGTTTGACCTGCAAACAGAATTAAAGTAGAGATCGGCAATGGAGACCTGCCTCTTGTTGTTGTCACTCACCTGAAGCTCTGCGATTTGGGATTCGGCCTGCTTGCGTCGCCGATCGTTCTCCTGCCGGGAGCTGTTGACGCTGCGCAATTCGGTGGCCAGATCGGCGTTCTCCGCCTCCAGCGTGCCCTTGGCCTTCTCCAGCACGGACTTGGCCTTGCGCAGGTTCTCCAACTGATCGTTGATGCCGTTCAGCTCCTGCGAGTGCTTGTGCCGCATGTCGGCGAGGACGCCCTCGTGGTTCACACCCTCCTCCTCGAGCGACTTCTTCAGCGTGGCCAGCTCCTGTTCGCGCTTGGAGCGCAGTTCCTGTTGGGCTGAACGAGACAGAATGACACGACAGATGTTAGTTATGGTTTATTTATGTGGAATCTTTTCTGCTCCTCCGCTTACCGGCTGTGGTGTCCAGGGAGTCGAGAAGCTCGTTCTTGAGGGCTTCCAGCTCCTCGCTGAGGTCGCGTCGCACCTTTTCCGCCTTGGCGCGGGCCGCCTTCTCCGCCTCGAGATCCTCTTGGATTTCGGCAAGCTGCGATTCGAGTTCACGTTGGGCCTTCTGGGAGGTGGCCTTGCTGGCAGACTCCTCGTCGATGCGCATCAGGGTCTGGGTGAGCTCCTCCTCGCGCTTCACCAGCTGCGCCTGCATCTCGTCCACTTGGGTGCGTCGCTCGTTGAGCTGCTCCCTGAGGTCGGCCACCTCGGTTTCGATCTTGCGCTTGGTGCGGTCCGTCTCCTGGCGCTGCTGCTGATCCTTGTGCATGCGCTCCTCTAGCTCGGCGATGGTCGCCTCATGCTTGACCTTCAGTTTGGCCAGGTGCTTTGCCTTCTCCTCCTCCTCGGCGAGCGTCTGGGAGAGATCGTTGGCCCGTTCTTCGAGCAGCTTCTTCTCCTTGAGCAGCTTCTGGTTCTGGTCGTCGGTGAGGGCCAGATCCTCCTCGTGCTTCTTAATCTTGCCATCCAGCTGGACCTTCTCCAGCTGCAGCTTCTGGCGG